ATGCCTATCATATTAAGATACCGCCGGTCGTAACTCTCGAGTCTATATGTATAGTTGCGCGACTGCAACTGTAATTTCGTCGAATCTCGTTCGCGGCGATGGCGATGTATATGCACCGACGGAGAAGTGCATCAATTTTTCCCGATTACGACGACGCTAATTCGGCGATACGACCTTCGGTCTTCATATACGTGCAAAGAGCCGGCAAAACCGAAGAAAGTAAAAGCGGAACTCGGCGGCGGTTCTGCACGTGCTTTCTTTCGTATTATTGTGCACCAGCTATTATATTATTATTTATACATAACTCTCGCGGCGCACTCACTTTTCTCCGCCGCGACTGGGCCAAGGCGAATGGCCTTGACCGTAAATCGTGTGCATAATAATATACTGCCGCTGCATTCGCATTCGCACTGACGGGCACCCGCGATCTTCGGCCACCACCGGCCGCATCGTTGAGATGGCCAACTTATCTGTCTGTCTCTTTCTCTCTCTCTCTCTCTGACTTCGAGTGGCAGTCGATCAATCAGTATTTTATACCACAACAGCTGTTATGTGTGCAAACTATACAGAGTTGTCGTTCTAGAATCAAATATCATCGCCCATTGTAATTATATATTTTAGTGTCGTACAGTGTACAGCAATAATAACATGTACAAAATAATCGTCGGGCGATTTGACGCGCGTTTTCACTCGGTCCCCTTCACCTCTATACTTTGCGCCGTCCTCCCGACTAATAACGCGCTACTGTTATTGTAATTTCGAGTTTTTTTTTTTCTTTTCTTTCCGAATATATTCTCTCCTTGTACGTACATATCATTACACGTGACGGCGACGGCAGCGGCGGTGGCGGCGTTCAAGTCTCCGTACACCGTGACCGGCCGGCGGCGGCGACGGCGACGGCTATACGGCAACGTCGCAACAACCGCGCGCTAGGCGAGTACATAATATGCACACAATCGTCGTTCGCCTCCCCGCTTAATGGAATAATATATTATTACATAGCCGCCGCGTCGCGCACTTGCGCGTAGCCGCAACGCTGCCGCTTAATTGCGTAAGCGGCGTGTATCTATCGTTCGTGGCGACTTCGGCGGTGGTGTTGTTCTCAAGGCCACACGCCTTCGAGATCGTGTTTGTGTATAATATACAACTGCGGCCGAGAAAATCGGTCACCTCCTTATCTCCCACCGTCTCGCTGCTCTCCGCGTCTGAAGCGCACCGTACATAATTTAATCATATTATTATAATGCACTATGTGATAATATCGAATTTTATGGAATAATAATAATTGTGATATTATTCACAACGTGTTGACAATCATTGTCTTATTCCGTCACTGTACGGCTATCGGTTATAACTTAGAAGAAGCTCTTCGCCGCCAAAGACTCTTATCATGGTTATCACGTACATGTGTGCGTATATGTATATACAGTAGATATGCTCGTGTCTCGTCTCATGAATGCGCTCGTAAACATTTCGAGGCGATCGGTTTTTAACGAGCTTCTCGATAACGTACGAGCGTGGAAATTCCGCAAAGAGCGCCGAAACGATAATAATTGTTGACCGGCGGGACGATATCGAACGGTGGTGTAATAAAAGGAGGACGAGGAGGAGGAGGATGACGACGACTATAATATAATACGACGACGAGAGAATAATAATAATAACGATAACGATAACGGAGTTTTGGAGCGAATAGAAACGGAATCAATATAGTGCTATAATTCCGGGATGGATATCGATAGCGATCTGCAAAAAAAAAAAAATATCCCGAGCTTTAATCAAAATTAAAGTCTTAACTTACGGACATAATAATGTGTTGTATATAAATCCTTTGGCGACTATTCGTTATCCTTTGTATAGTGTATACACATATACCTTCGTTCCGCGCGGGGTAGGGTATATATAGAAACGTTTTTTTCCCCTAGTCCGTAATCGATTCCATCCAATAATGGATCGCGACGGTAGTGGTGGTGACGACGACGACGACGACGTTATTTCGTAAATTACGCAATGCGCTTTGTAATTATTTTCATTTTAACGCCCAATCTCGATATGTATCCACTAAAATTACGTTTTGAAATCGCGCGCATATCCTTACGCAATGGAGCCGTGGCGCAATGCTCACAAATTCACCACACGCACGGGCATGCGTATTATAACATTATTGTTATTATTCGACATGTGTATTATTGGCGAATCCGATCGGAAAAACGTTTTACTCTGACTGACGTTATTATTATTGATTTCGATGCCGCGGGAATAGAGTTGTGTTGGTTTAATATTTTCGATTTGCGGTTTTTTTTCTTATCGTTTGAAACCGTAAAACTCATTATATTATAATAATTAATAGTTCGTCTTACTTTGATCGGCCGACTGAACGAATTCTTTATATTTCCACGAGTAAAATGTAAAACGAGTCGATGCCATACAAAATATTATAAATATTTTGACGCTTCTTCTAAGTACAGATAATGTGTTTTGGTAGTTGGTACGCTGCAGATAAAGCAGATATATTGGTCTCCGCACCTTATCACAATCGCAATACAGTCGATTGAAGACGACCATATGTTTTATTATATCACTATCTTTGGTCGCGTATATTATGTATTATTATCTACAGTGTGTATCTAATTTTTTATTTTTTTTTGTTTATTACCTGTGCGTCATAACCTGCGCTATAACCGGTTTATGTTTACGGCAACCAAAGCATATTTTGTTTTTTTCTACCGCGAGATCTGTGCGGCCGGCGCGTAATCATTAAATATATTATCATTAAATTATTTTATACTTAAAAAAAAATAAATACGTATAGAGTATAGTATTAGTATATATAGGTATATAGGTACTCGATACAACAATAATAATATCAGCATCATCGTCGTCGCGTACACTATTGCAGCATTACAATAATAATACAACGCGACGTGCGCCCGCCAGAATACGATTTTATGCCGTCCGGAAAAATGTTTGTATTTTTTCTTTCGTTTTCTTCTCGTTACGCGGCGTAATAATATTCGTCGACGACCAACAGTCGTTTTCATCCTCCCACCCTCTATATCGAAAATTTATGACTTGTACGGCGCATTATGAATACGCACGAGCGCCTATGAATTATTATTGTATTTAGTATAAATTAATATATTTTAATATTTTAAAACCGAATTGTGTTTGCGCGCGTAAAACTGAGAAAAATATATTACGTAGTCGTCGTCGTCCAGCGACGTCGGGCGGGTACAGCGAGCGTGTAATATTATATATAATTATTGTTTATTACTCGTAATGATAGCGTGTACGACGGGATGTGTACAGACGGTTTATTTATTTATTTTTTTTTTTGCATTTGAAACCACTGACCCATTTTGATTTTAAGTCGTTAAGACGCTGTCGCGATAGTCAAATAACCGTCAACAATATATTATTTTATCAACCTATATATCTAAACTTTACGAATTTTTTCTTGATTATTTTTGTTTTGTTTTTTTGAACCATTAATTGTAGCAATAATGATAACGACGAGTGTTTTTCGTACAAACGCGTTAGAGTCATAGTCATTGTACCAATACTCGCATGACAACGTTGATAATAATAAAATATTAAAATATGTACATATTATACCTATAAAGTATAATATAGAGGATGACTATGCAATACCACTGCCGTCACCATTCGTCGTTACGCCGTGCGGTGTCCCTCTTCTACGTCTCTGCGTTGTCGTCGTCGTCGTCGTCGTCGTCGTCGTATGTAACGTTCCGCGGTCGTCTCGCGTATAATAATAGTAATAATATAATATGTCGGTTTGGTAATAACTTTAATAATAGGAGGTATTTTTTATTTTATTTTTTCACTATCATTATATTGTTCTCTCGTACAGACGTGGCGGGGAAACCTGTGCGATGAGAACCATTGTTGGCTAAAAACACACACTCGTAGGTACATATACGTATACATGTATATACATCATGCTTTATACATATTATAATATAAAATAATATGTAGTCTACACACTTATCCTACACGTACTTAAATTACCGAGTACGTATATTATTTGTATCGACACGATCATTTTCTCGAATGCGGCTCCTCGTATACTATGATCTTCGTCGTCGGATAACGGTGGTGTTCCTCATATCGTTATTATTTTTGAATTTTTGCGCCCAATCCTACAATTTATTTTTCTATTTAAATTATATGCAAGGCATACGTTCCTGTCCCCTCTACCCCCCGGTCAATTACAGTGATATTAGTTGAAATTTCGTATTAAACGTTCACTGTAAATTTAGACATTGTCTACTCAATTTCGACTGCGTAGTTAACACATTTGGGCGGTTGCTATTTTTTCGCGGTCGAGTTCGTAAATCTCCGCCATCGGCAGTCAGCCGGACAGGATTTCCGTTGTCCATTTCACATTTGGCTCTGTGCCGCCACCGTTGCCGCCGGTCGCGAGTGGCGTAATCGTGGTCTATTGTTTTTAGCGTTCTTACGACGTTGTGAAACAAATTATTTAATAATAATTATGATCACACCTCGACTACAACGTTATAATAACATTATATATAGACTCGGTCACAACAATATACATTTACCATTATTAAATATACAATGTCTCGCAATGTTATTACAATCCCCAAAAGCTTTCGCTACATTATGAAGTTGGAGTGTCAAAACGTTTTATGTTAAACAGATAAACAATTTTATTTTGGGTCAAAGCAATATGTTGATGAAATTTTAATACAAAAATCTATAAAGCTAATAATTATAACCAATATCAAAACAAACAAATTTTTATTAAAAATCTCAACCAAGATTAAACCAAGTACTCCATGACACCCCCTCACGCAGCTGTAACGTTTGTACAGTCTATTATCGTGCTCTTCGGTGGCATATAATATCATTTACGAATAGTGATAATATTAAATATCGTTTAGATCGTGTTTTAATATTTTAATTAAACCGGTAAAGTCGAACAATTTTGACTAATGGTGTGTCGTTTTGTGTTTCAGCCGTCCGAGCGGACAGGATGCGAGGAGGCCGAAACAAATTCGGACCGATGTACAAACGAGACAGGGCGAGAAAGTTGCAGATGATGCGTCAGCGACAGATGGCCGTGCAGACGTTGCGCGGCGGCGTGGTCACGTCGGCCGGAGCCAACAACCACCACCAATTCGCCATGTTGGCCGGCGACGCGGTCACGCTAGGCCAGTACCCAGGCTCCACCATCACGTCATCGGTGTCCAGTTTGCACATCAAACAAGAAATTCAGATTCCCCAGGTGAGACAATTTTGCGGTTTTCATATTATTACCGCGTTTGGAAACGTTTAAGAAAAAATAAATAACATTAACAACAACCATGAACGTTTCTCGGTGTTAGGTATACAATGTCTCATCATAAATCGAAACTTATCAAGCCCTTACTCAACGGCATACAAATTAAAATTAAAAATAAATTCGCAAAACTAAATTATAAGCGTTTTTTTTTTTACACGAAACTTACATTTAATACTATAGCATTTTAATTCAATCCACGTCTTCAAACCGTATCCCCGATGAGCCCACTCGAACATTAGATAATATTATGCTCTAAGCTTGCGCGAGATATTCCCTACCAATGGTGATTTCCCCTATCAAGTGTTGTACGTTACCAATGTATTTCGATATCTTATTAATTTATTGTCCATGCGTGTTTATACAATAAAAAAAAAAATCAACCTTTTTTAATGTACAGGAAGCGCGCATACAACGATAGTGTAACACACCGCCCCTATCTGAAGTGACAACCGCGCGTTATCGATCAGTTTTATTTAACATAATCGTTTCCAACATTACATCACCACGATCATTGCGCATCACATCGGCGTTCGACTTTTCTGTTTTCAAACCGTACCCGACGATGAGCTTCCTACAAAATAATTATATATTATTGTTTTTGAGTGTAATTACGGTGTGTGATGTATCTGCGTCGATATTATTTTTCTCATCGGACGAACGCATATCATCACATAACAATATTATTTACGTATTTGCGTGGGTAACTTTGCGGTAATCAATTTCACATATAATAATAATATAACGCGCGGTCGTCGTTGCAACGCGCATGATGTCTGTGGCGACCGATGTGGTGTCCTACGCGATCGCGTAGGCTCGGTATAAAATGTGCGTAGTTGTTTAAACTGGTGCGAAATGGAAATCCCCCATCCCCTCTCGCCCCAATTAACATTATTTTTACACGATCACCGTGAGCCAAAAGCCCGTCTCGTGGGTTTTGATATTTTATCGACTGTCGCCTATAGGCGGCGTACGATTTGCGCTAAAGAAGAATGTTGTTACAATGTTCTATTAGTTTTCACTACCTAACCTAAGTGTGACGTAATAAAATTGCGTTCAGTAGAACCAACTTCGTATGTTAAGTTTATGTAGTATTAGATAATATAAGTGAATTGAGCTATTATCAAACTTTATGTGTTCTTACGGTGGCTATTTTTGGAAAATATTTGGATAATATATATATATTTTTAAAGTGAGATGTGAGCATTTTTAAATTGTAACGTCTTACACGAGTGCTTCCCAATTCGCACTAAAAACGAAAAGGTAGTTTAGGCGCGGTGGACGCGGAAAACCTTATAGATTTAGTAGCGCGACATATCTTATAATACGTTTGTTTGTTCTCGAACAGGTGTCTTCGTTGACGTCTTCACCCGATTCGTCTCCCAGCCCGATCGCCGTGGCTCTGGGTCAGGCCGGACTCGGGTCTCTGGCCACGGGCGCCGGAGGCACCACGTGTGTGGTCAACCAACACTCGCAAATGACGCTGCAAATCGTGGCATCGGCCAACGGCAACAACAACAACAACACTAGCAGCAGCAACAACAACAACAACAACAACAGCAGCAGCAGCAGCACGGGCGTGACCAACATGGTCGGAGCGAACGGCGGAGTGCCGCCGTCGCAACACCAGCAACATCACCAGCAGGCCCAGCAGCAACAACAGCAACAGCAGTCGGCGGTTCCGGCCGCGTCCATGTTGTCCGTGAACAAAATGTGGTCGCCACCGTCGTCGCCCAAGAACAACTACCTGTTGTCCGCGCACCAGCAGCAACAGCAACAGCAGCAACACCACGTGCCGCAGCAGCAGCAGCAGCAACAGCAGCAACAGCAGATGGTGGACGGCGGCGGTAGCACGTCGACCGCCGCGGCCACGACCGCCAACGGCGGCGGCGGCGTCAAAGGCATGTCGCCCATGATCCGGGACTTCGTGCAGGGCCTGGACGACCGGGAGTGGCAGAGCTCGCTGTTCGGCTTGTTGCAGAACCAGACGTACAACCAGTGCGAGGTCGATCTGTTCGAGCTCATGTGCAAGGTGCTCGACCAGAATCTATTCTCGCAGGTGGACTGGGCGCGGAATTCGGTGTTCTTCAAAGATTTAAAGGTAAACGATCTCTACTTAATGCATAATAACATAATACGTCGGCTTATCTTATCTCACCTAACCTAATCGAGTCGCGTATGATCATTATGGCACGTCATCTATACCGCCATGACGACGACGTGGTACAAAAACGTCGGTGTGTGTAGACGATTTCTATTTGCGGGATGACGAGATTAAAAAAAAAAAAAAAACAAACCCGATTTCGCTCTGCAGCTCTCGAGGGGCGAGCCGTCGATATGTGTGTATACTCACACACAGCCGATATGCTCGAGCGACAGGCGATAAGCAACCCCCCCCCCCCATACCTATGCAGAGATGGTCGTGTTCAATGTACATGATATATTATATTATAATATATTGACATATTATTATGTGTGTACAATTTCGTGTTTGTACACACGCGCGCGTGATCGGTCCATTATGAAAACAGCGGTAGACCGATCGTTTCGCGGTTCGGGTTGGTTGCAAATATTGTTGTGTCTGTGTGTATGTGTGTGTGTGTGTGTGTGATGAAGGGGGGAGAGTGGGTATACGAACAAAAAAAAATCAGGCCAAGTTCATCGCCGCCACACACACGCGCAAGCACTCGGTAAGTCGTTGTTGTGTACGTAACGCACTCGCACTCACAGTCGCCCGGCGGTTGGCCCGCGCCGTTTTGCGCAACTCCGGCGCACTGAAAGCCCAACGACTCGAAACCGATTGTGTATGTATGTGCATGTGTGTACAACAATGCCGTCGATGCCGTGCGTGCGATTTTTTTTCTCGTATTTATTATTTAATTACGATCGAAATGATATATTATTATGGCGGCCGAAAAAAAAACGAGTTAGCCTCAGCAACGATTGTGTTATTATTATTATTATTATTATTATTATTATTATTATTATTGTCGTTATATCGTAAGAGGTGCGTATTATATTATATCGCGTGGTGCGTGCGACGGGACAGCCCGCTCGGGAAAACAACCGCGACACGCGAAATCCCGTGGGATTCGCGTATATTATTTTTCTGTTGTGAAATATAATAATAATAATAATAATAAAATATAAGAGTTACAGCAATGGCGTCGTGCCTGTATTATATATTATATTGATATTATTTAAAAAAAAAAAAAAAAAAAACGGCAGCTCGTATTAGCTAGCGACCGTGTGTGCGATGTGCATCGTAATGACAATATCGTAATGTTATGCACACGCGTACCTGTGCTATTTATCATACCGTTCGACGACGTTTCTAATTGCGCGCGTCGTCGGTCGTTTAAAAATATACAAAAAAAGAGTATAAATATACAGTGCGAGCACTGTGCAGCGAGTAAGCGCATGGCGCTCGGCTGCCGTTGGCCCGGCACAAGGCACAAAGACAGCCGATGGTCGCGGCACCGGCCCCGTATTGTGCGGTAGTCGCGGCAGTCGTCCCGGGGGCCCGATTTAGGGGGTCAGCGGCGGCGACGTCCTCGATGGTGGTGCCGGTAGTGGTGGCGGCGGCAGCGGCAGCGGTGGTGCTCGCCGTTCCCTCCGCTTCGCCGCCTTTTGACGATGCTCATTATGTGTCGGCGTTGCCGTTCCGCCGACATCGTCGTCGTTGATAAAATACATTATTATTATTATTATTATTATTATGCGTTCAATCGAATCGGAACGACAATGTCGCCCTCGACCGTACTCGCAATATTGTTATTTATTATGCATAATCATAATATATTGCATAGTTTAAGTGTGGGAGTGTGACGATGATACTCTTAGGACTCGGCGGGGGAGGGGGTGACTCTGAAAAATATTCGATCCGGGGAAAACCATTTGACCGGCCCTCAAATTTGTTTCGTCCTGGGTATATTTCTCGGAGATACACACGCTTATGTTGAAGTTTTTAATATACTTAATATATTGCGTTCAAACCAGTAATTACCAAATAAATTAACTCAAAGGTTGTGCTTAATCGAAACTAAGTATAATATTAAATGAAAAAAACAATTTACATTGTTACTTTATCTAATACATCAGTTTTAATATTTTTAAATGTCAATGATGTTTTTGACATAAAATAATAATATTTGATATATTTTTATTTTTATCTACAGCCGTAAAGCAAGAATGCCTCTAATTATTAATTATAAATAATAACGCAACGTCCACTCCCAGTCACCGAGAAAAGTCCTGATATCAGTTAGTTGACATTGTACGCTACCGCTTGTATAGTTCGGGAAATGCCATACCGTCGCAGTGTAACACTATTGTGTACGAATCGGAAATAAAATATGATTTTTATACCTTTACATTTTTTAACGTTGTTAAAAATTTACAACTTGTGTTTGAAATATTTAACATCGTTTTGCTTGCGGCTCGACCGGCAGTTGCAAACTTAGTTGAATATTTCATTTGTTCGTTCGTCGGTTTATTTTACACTAATATCACTTTAGTGTGTGTTTGTGTTTTTTCTGGGTCATATCGATGGCGCGGTAGAGGTATTCGCGGGTGACGTATAGATGGCCGGAAAGGAGCGCCCCCGCACGAAAGTTCGACCGTTGTACTACTCGATAAACCCGCCAGCCCATTCTTTCCCTAGTTTTAATTTTTTTTTTTTTTTGTACTTTTGATTACTATCAAAGCATTTACTTACAATATAGGTTTCAATACTAACAATAGGCTGTAGCCAACCGCCAATTAAATATTAAAATATGTTCTCAAGTTTTATGTTATTTACACTAATACTTTTTAATGGCAATATGAAAGAACACGATTTGATTACACGTTACACTTTATTGTTGAATACAATTTTTTTTTGACCCGTAATTTTCAATATAGTTTTGTTTAAAAAATTTTAAGTCTTGAAAATTTTAAATATTGTTGATTTTTTTTTTCAACAAAAGAAAACATTCCGATTGGTGTTTCAGTCACGGTCGTATTTTATCAAACATTTTGTACTTATTAAAATAACTTGAGATATTTACGTATTATGCATTGTATACGTCTTATATGTATATAAATATCAAATTATTTTTATAAAACAATTCTGAACGTTTTTAATAAATAAAATAATAATATATGATAACGTTTATTAGTAACGTTCTCCAAAAAATTCGTTTTTCGGGTATCTATTATTAATAGGTCTCGGCGTTTTATGCGTGGATCAAATAATATACTTGAATAAACATAAAATGTGGACCGGACGGATACGCTATATGCTTGCGTGTGCTCCGATATCATTGTACAACGGGCAACTCCCATTAGATATATGTATGTAAGTTATAAAAATTACACGACTGTTGTTCAACACACGTTAAACGACGAGACGAAAAGTTTGCATTGCGCCCGTGACACAAATATTTTGAAATATATTTATATTCATTGCTCGGTTTCAGTTTTTTTTGTTATATATAATACGCGCGTACGTAAAAATTAAAACAATATATTCTTATGTACTTTGCGAAACAGTTAAAAATCTAAAACGTGTTTTAAGCACAATGTTTTATGCATAAACAATGTTTTATTTTAACTGAAAGAATGCCGAGAGAATAATATTATTGTTTACTTGACGGAAATTCACATAGAATTTTGTTTTTGGAGAATTTCTAAATTAAAATAAAATGAAAATATAAAAGTACATACTATAAACAAAGCATAAACCAAGGTCAAAAGTCTTGCATATTGCGATTGAAATGAAAAAACTTTCATTTCAGAAAATTTAAAGTGTGAATTTAAAACTGGTATTACTATAAAACATTAATATGAAATATATTGTAATATTGTTATGGGAGCCTCGGCGGAATGTTTTTGAAACGAAATTAATTTACTGGTAGGATGATATTTCTTGTTTATATCTTACGTAACGATTTATATAAATACATTTATGCAGTAAATTTTATGTAATTTTTATTTGGATGTCACACGTGTTAACAAAATATTTTTGTAACCACCGATAACGTGTGACTACATTTCTAAAACCAAATAGTTTTTCATTTTTATTGATGTGTGCTGCAAACGTGGTGTTAATTCTATACACTTATGTAATCGTTTATTTATTTTTAGAAACCATGGCGGTATGATAATATACAAATCATACATAAAAAAGATGGTTTCGAGTTTTATTCAGAATATAGTCGCTCATATGTATATAATATACGTCCATAATATTTAACCACGGTACAGCGATGATAATCGAGTATGTTATATTGCTTTGTCATAATGAAATATATTATAACCATGTTGTATATTAGTTGTATAACGAGTGGGTTATTTTAAAATAAAAACTTAACTGAATTTTTTTGGCCAAAGGTCAGCTTTCCCTATTTGCGCGTGGTGTGCTGAAGGGGAGGAAATAGTCGCTTCTTGTCTCTGGGGAGTTTTCGTTGAGAATGGAGAATGCGTGACGTCTATCAGATGAACGATGAAAAAACAACACATTATATGCATAATATATAAATATGTATACAACTCGATGTTTAAACACGTATGTAATATAATAATAAAATTATGTCGTTAAAGCTCGGGTGTCGAGGGGAGGAGGTCGAACATTATTAAACCATAGCGTAGGCGACATCGGCGGGGGTTAAACGTTCGTGGAGGGGTGTAGTCTGCAACTAGGTTAATTTGGTTGTGTATGGTAGGTCATGGTCAGGCCAGGGATCGATCTTTCTCGGGCGCGGGTTGGAAGGGATATACGTCATCGTGTGTATGCGCGTGCGCGAGTCTGCGAGTTTGTGTCTGTGGGTCGCCTAAGACGCCTGTACTACGCTATAATATCGTGTCCCATTTATTATGATACTATTATTATAAACGCTTCGTTTTTTACTCGGTAGGGTTTTTGCAATATTATTTGCCAGTTAGACGCATTCCGGACGATGGGTTTTAATTTCCGTCGTTATAACTTATTGTTTTTTTTGGTTTCGGTGTGAAAACCTTAAACCGTTTTCCTCTTATTCTCCCTCGTCTGTGTGTTTATTTTTTCCGTGAGGGTCTTCGTTTATATTTTTCGTCGATTGTGTTTGTTCGCGCGCCAAATAACGCGAGACGTATATAAATATAGCATATATTTAATACAACACACCCCGCACGCGCCGAACCGTTTATAACGCAAATAACGTCGTCGCCACAGCCGCCGCGTTGTTCCAATGACCTATTTTTTGGGGTTGCCAAAAAAAAAAAAAACTGAAAAAGTGACTATCGGTCTCGCCATTACCCGCGGCCCCTTTCTATATACGCCCGCCAATTAAGTGTTATCAAATGTTATTTTTGTTGTTTTTTTTTTTAATGTTATACGTGTCGGGTCTTATAATATTATGTATTTGTCTTCTAGGCGACGCGACGGCGTTTATTCTCTCAGATATCGTAATATACACACCTTGCGCGTCATATTATTGTATTATACTTACAATAAGTTATAACACACTCCTCGGGTTCATTGTTTTCTGCGACGACCGCGGGTTAAGAACATTTGTGTGTGTGTGTGTGTTATATTTATACTTAAAAATAACAATAATAAAAAAACGCGTGTATACGCTGTTTTTAGTGTAAATATTGAGTGTCGTGAACCTAATGCCAATTTTCGTCACCTTGAAATTATGATGTTCTCTGACTACTAAACGTTGGTGAACAATAAAAAGGGGGAAAATATCACACACGCGCTTACACTGCACGCGGAAGTGTTGAAGAAAAAACTACATATAACAACATAATATGTAATATCAACATCACGGTGGACACTGACTCCGTCGTTCCATACACAGGCAACTGCTACTATTGTAGTTTATTTTTTGCTCAAGTTCATCGGCCCGAGATTTGTTTAGTATTTCATTAAACGTATGTTATTATTATTATTGATATTAGTACCTTGTATAGTGTGGTGTGCCCTTGTGTTGTCGCATCATGCTTTACACGCGACGAAGGTGGCGCAGCGTCCAATCAGACGACATATGTGGCTTTGGATCTGTTCGTTTTTCCCACCCTCTGATGTATTATATTATATAATAGTTATTATAACATTGCAATCCCAAGTTGTGCTGTTTATATCGCACGACGGTGACATGTTTACGCCGTACACGATTAATATGTAGGTAGGTACTTAGTATCCATACATTTTCACATGACGTGTTCTATACGTTTCTTTTTGTGATATTCATTTAAATATTATAAACGTATACTAATCCGGCGAGACGGATTTTCTTTTCTTAGTCTTATCAAAATCTAGTGTCGTTTCTACCTCAATAAATCGTCCACACCTATTTTAATCCCCATAGTATAACGCACTATGCAAACATAATGTGAGTATACGTATTGTACTTATAAGCTGTTTGTTGATTACACAATTAAAATTTATTTTTTTCACAAATACCTACATAATATTATTTGCGTTGTGTAATAGTTGATCAAACTGATTGTTTCTTGATTTTAGTGATTCAAATAGTAAGATATTCAAATAAATCTTATATAAATATTATATATATATATGTATTTAAAGTAAAGTATTTAAATCTATAATATACTTGAAACACCCACTGGTAGGTTCTGGTTGGTGCGATGAAAACCCCTTTTTATGCCGCTTTATATAATATGTGAATCTCATCCAAACCTCATTTTTTTTTATATCCAGCTTTATTACGGCCACGATTTGAGAAAGAACCGTGGGCAACGTGTTTAAACTTTTCCGTGACCGACTCATTAACAGAAGAATTAGCCTGAAAATATCACAATCATGTCTCGTTCTGTGCATCACGTCACGATCCCGCGTGCTAGGTGTTGACACATACATTTCTATATCATCTAACCGGTTGTCCGATAAGTTTTTGTAATTATCAAACACTGACGTCCAGACGTGCACTTTTTTCCCGGTGCAGCTGCATTTGCTACATACCTACAGTTGTCGACGACGATGATGCTCAGAGATTGTACTTAGGCGTAGTATAAACAACATGATAAATAGGTGCAGTGCAAATATCCGCAGTCGGGAGATTTCTTGACGTCATTATAAAATAAAATAAAAATAATATTTTTAAAATGATGTCATGCACACGTTTTGCGTTCAGATCATTTCGGTACATTTTATAACACTCGGTGCTCGGTATATAGTATTTTATCGTAGTAAAATATTTCGACGACGACGATACATACGATGCAATATGCATTTGTATGTGATATCGCAATTTCACTGATATATATAAAACTATATTATTATGTATAACGCGCATAGGTAACGATAATAAAACGTACTCCCATGTTACGTCGTCGTTGTTTAATATTATTATTATTATTATTATTGTATACTTTTTTGGCGTGTATCCAGTACGCCACATGTCAAATGTCCCATTTTTACGTTTACAAGGTTCTTGTGGATTAATAAAATCAGCGGGAACGCGTTTTAACGATATATTATTGTGTATGTATAACAACACCTATGTAACGTATGTATAATATTATTAAAAATAGACATGGTGGCCAACTCTATATAATGAAAAAATAATGATGATGACGATGATGATTAGGCACGCTGCACCGCAGGTCTCGATGATAATATTACGCGTAATACATTCTCGTCCTGCCGAGGAAATACCTCGCTTTACTGCTGCGGTACGACGGCGACGGTGTTGTTTTTCTTACGGCGGCGTATCGAATTTTCCACGCGCGCGCGCAAGTGAAATCGCCGGCATTGGCCTTGAGCTTCAAGGTTCTATCCTGTGGTGAAAGCGGAAAACGCAGATGAGATGGAGTGTAAAAAAAAAATTAAGATTCATGTAATAACGCGCGTAACATGTTACTGTATTAAGATATTTTTTTTTTCGGATTTTTGATCGACTGCGACGACGACTACAACTACTGACACAGAGTAAAACGGATAGAATAATTTGTATAAACGTAATCACGCGTAGTAGAATTAGTTGAGTCGAATTAGCGGTTCTTTTAGTCTTTTCATGTCTGAGTTCCGTCTACATATTTTAAAAGTTGTCAAGTACATATAGTACTGAATCTAATAACTTAATTATTTTGCTTATTGAAAAATAAATACGTTATTTTACATGTATAGAGTCTTTTATAAGGAGCTAAAGAATGTAAATGTAATTAGAATGAAAACTTAAGCATTAATTACACAAAAGTAAAATCAAATATTGTGTATGTACAATTTTACGGTTTAATTAATATAATGTCACCACCAGTGTTGTTTTGAATGATCGAGGACGTCATTATCTCATTTAGTCTTGAATAATTTGTTAAGTTCAATTAATTTCATTTTTGTTTTTTTTTTTTTTTTTTGTTTTGTATTTATAATAAATGAGAAAATTTATCTTTTGTACAGATTTTTCGACATGAAAAAAGAATTAGTTTTGTTGGGTTTGTGTGGAAAACGCTGTTATTTAATGTAAATATAATAATTTTCAAATTGTTTTATCAATCGAGATTACCTTTTCATACCACCTATGAGCTTTCCTCGTTATCAAAGGTTGAGAAACACTGTTATAGATGGTTGTTTTGTTTTTGTTGTTGAAGTAATAGTAGTATATAGGTAGTTATTTTGTTGTCGTTGTTGCAGAAGTAGTAGTAGTAGTAGTAGTAATAGTAGTAGTAGTACTGGTAGTAACTATATAGTATTAGGTTGTAGTAGTAATAGTAATCGCCGTCGTGTGTACGTCTCGGACTCGAACGAGAATATAATATAAAAACGAAATTACCGTCCGACCAAAAACGAGTGCACGCAGTCGTTACGGATTTATATATATACCTTACGTGTATTATACCTATTATTATTATATCATTATTATTACTATTATTATACCGTGTAGATATATGCATCTATCTATCTATACAAATGTATGTATGTGTAATACACGTCTATATACGGCGCAACCACCGTCGTCACAGACTCTTCTTTCACTTTTCAAGGTCTTACGATTCGTTACGCGTAAATGCTGCAAGTAGGTTTGATCATAATGTTATACGCTCCGATCGCGCGATCCGCCATGAATACAACGCGTATATATATATATATATATATTTATACCCGTGTAATGGTATCGTTGTTGGCGTATAGGTATGCGAAGAGAATATCCGCAGCAGTTGACGGTGGAGACGGGAATTGATATAGATTTAATCCTGCGCTACTATGACCCACCGTCGTCGTAATCACGATTATGCAACGAGACACACGTCCCCGGTATAAACACATCATCCTCCCTATATGTTTAACCCCGCGGGTAAAGTTCCGTCGTTTTTCCGTTTAGGAGATACCCCGAGGCCACGATTTAGCTAATTCTAAAATGCGGCGGCAGCTAAGTACATATCATAATATTAGGTATATAACGAAAATATGCGCATATAATACAACTTCATTATCATCACCCAGACGTGTGAACTTACTTGCGTGTTACCGGTGCTGATGTATGAAATTATAATGTTATACGTATTATTATAATAGTGCCTATAATATATGCGTATATTAATATCGTATTCCACCAGTCTATAATACTAGGATTATATTATCTCGTATCTGCTCGGTACATACCATAATGTTATTTGGCTGTTATGCATTTCATAAACTATTGCGATTGTTCTGAATCCGATTACCTAAACGTTTTTTTTTCTTTGCATTACACAGGTGGACGACCAGATGAAACTGTTGCAGCACTCGTGGTCGGACATGCTGGTGCTGGACCACATCCATCAGCACATGCACAACAACCTGGCCAACGAGATCATGTTGCACAACGGGCAAAAGTTCGATCTGCTCGCGCTCGGTCTGCTTGGCGTCACCTCGATGGCCGACTGTTTCGCCCAGGTCATCGACAGGTTACAGGAACTCAAGTTCGATGTCGGCGATTACATTTGCCTAAAGTTCCTGCTGTTGTTGAATCCTGGTAAATCGTCGTTATTATACAGAAGACGCTTACGCTCTTCCCCTCCACCCTCTCATGTACAGGTGGGTTGTCTGGTGGATTTGAAGATTTAAACAAAATTAAAAATAACGATAGTCAAATCGTAGAGTAGGTCAAATCCTCCAGATTACATCCAGTGTACCGTGAGATATAGTGCGAGAATGACAGGGTTTTAACGGTTTTGTGTTGTTTTTGTTTTTCGCCGTAGATGTCAAAGGGATCGGTAACAGTAAACACGTTCACGAAGGTCATGAGCAAGTGTTGAAGGCTCTGTTGGACTATTGCATCACAGCCAACTCTCAAGTACAGGTAAACGAGATTAAAACATAATCATTGAATAATATAGATTACGTTTAGTAACGATCCGATGTTTAACGTCCCGAATCGACCGCGCGTCGTTTTTACAGGACAAATTTACCAAATTGTTGTCCGTGCTGCCCGAGATCCATCACATAGCCACCAGGGGCGAGGAGAGTCTATACTTGAAGCATTGTAGCGGCGGTGCTCCGACGCAGACGTTGCTCATGGAGATGCTGCACGCCAAGCGAAAATAACACAAATCACACAATATATACCTAAACACACCACTCACCACCAAAATATCATATTTATAACGATAATAGCGTACTGTTATTATTATTATAATAATGATAATAAATTATTATTGTTATATTTAAATATATATATATATTTAAACCACACACAACACAACACCCCAAAAACACACTCACACACACATACACACCCACATACACACGTGCAACGTCAAATCGACACCATCTGCAATGCGAAGAAGGACATTCGCACGTACTCCTCGCACTCGTTCACACGTAAGAGATACATTAAATAATTATGATTTTCCCTATATTTTCACCGTCGTAGAAGTCGTGTAATATCGTTATTATGATATTATTGTGATGCGCAGCTCCGTGGCTGCCCATCGGGCGGGCGGCTCGAGTTTTAACCCGTTTTCTTTTTTATCGCTTGTCGGCCCCGCTACTGGTTAGGCTAGGTTGGTTTATACGCACGACGGTCATTAGACGTGAGCGAGTGTTATTTATTTAGTTTTTATGACATGATAATAATTGATAACATTTATCCGCGAACACGTCTGCCGTCCGGTGTCAAGGGGGACTAGTTTGGACTCTCGATATCTCGTTTCGTTGCACAGTCGTTGTGTTTGTAGTACGCCGCGTTCGCGTAATATTCTCGCGACCGTCGTGTTATTAATAATGTACGGTTTACGTATGCCGCCTACTTAATAATAATGTATTGAACATCGCCAATTAGGTCGTTGATGTTTTCTCACATCAAGACAAGGAGCATACTACGAGACTCTGAATCAATCATGTTATTTATCGAAATCGCGAAATACAGTCGTAGTGCTCTGCCTACCTACCTAACCTACCTATAATAGGTGTTTATCGCACTGTAACTGTTATTTTAAATATTATTATTATTATTATTATTTTTTTTTTTTATCCTAACGATATTTTGCCGATCATTTTGGCACACGACGCCGGACGGATAACAAAATAATTCTGTAACTTCCGATAATAGTCGTCGCCAGTCAATTTTTATTTTCCAACGAAACCGTCTATTGCTGTCCGTCTTATATGAAGTGTATAACCCTATTTTTATTTTTTTTGTTTTCAGGGTCGGCCAAATATTTTAAAAGACAAATCCTATCATCGTCTATTTGAGCGACAGCCACGTTACCATGACAACTAAATACATTTTGAGTCATTACAGAGTTACCAACTGATCTCGTCGACAGCGTCATTACACACGTACGCGATGTTGGTCAAAACTACTCGTACACACCACGTACACTGATGTACACATACACCAATACACAATTACACACACTTACACAAATACACACCACATAATTATTAATATTATTTATTATTAATTATTTAAATTATGTTTTTTTTTTTATAATATGTTTAAGAAAAGTAATCCTTCCGATGACTAATGAAATAAGAGTGCATAATGTGCGCCCAAAAATCCGATTATTATTAATTATGTTATGTTTAATAGTGTATATTATATATTAGAGCATAATGCATATGTATACATATATTTTTATTATGAGCTATATAGTTTGTATATATATATATTATGATGATTTTAATGCTTATCTTAGGTATTTAATGTTTGGTTACCAAATCTCAAAAGGCCAGTAAAAGGAGATGTGCTCAAGGTTAAAAAATGTTAAAAAAAGTTTATATTATTAACAGTTTAATGCAAGCCGTTCAGTTCCTACACACACTGTTCCAATTTTAAATAAGTTATTAATCCGTTATATTATGTTCGGTTTTCTTTTTCTTTTTATTAATTGCAGAAATTTTGTTCATGAAAGAGATATTTAAGTAAGAAACATATACAAAGAGAAAATGATTACAATACATTATGTTTGACGATTTTGCTGTTAACAGTATTCGTGTGTTTTACTGTAAATTGTATCGTTATTATCAATATTTTTATTTCAAAATTATAAAGATCTTAATGATTTAAACCAATTTATTATAATCCGCACACTCATGTTTTGTTTCTTTACGATGATTTGTGTAAAAAGTAATTGTACATATACATATTTATTTATGTATATAGTATATTTAAATATCAGTTGAGTAAAAAAGATTAACTACCATTGCCTCCAAAACAAGAGTACAAAATATTTTTCTAAAACCAATTCGTTATCTTTGTTAACCCCATTAGTTTTAGTTTTACCTTTCAATTTTTTTTTTTTTTTTGGGATATTTGGGCATAAAATCACTGATTTGGCATTCGTCTTTTGGATTTTGTTTGAAAAAAGAATAACATTCCGTCTAAATAAATTAAATTTAAAAACAAATACCTAAAAACGTTTATTTTTTTTCTCCTTGTAGAAGGTGATGGACAAGTTAGCGTTCGCCTTATTTTATATTTTATTTCCTCTATAAGCATAATATTATAGTTATTATCATATAACATAGTTTCATAGTTGTTTAGATTTAGAGATTTATTTATTTATGCGTGTATACATAGATTTATGGCATATATTATTAATATTATAATATACCTTTGTGGTTCATAATGTTAGGTGTTAAAAATATTTATTTTAAAACAAATATTGTCGTTAAAAAAAAAAAAAAAACAATTTTATAAAACACAAGAATGAATGTATGAAACTATGAGTTACCGTTAAATTTTTTTTTGTAAGTAATATTACTATGTACTTGCTCATTGTTTTTCTTTTTCTTATCTTTTCTTTTTCCTTTTTTTTTTTAATTCGTCATTTATGCTTGTATTGTTCGTTTAGTTTGTCACAAGCGTGCGCACACGATATATTATTCAGACATCTCAATATTTGATTGTATAAATCTTCACGCGAACTTACCGTTCGATGTGTGTATGTGTATGCGTTTGCGTTCACGCTTCCCAGCCTCTGTCTTCCTTTATATACGCGCCCGGGGCAGTGCGATAACATTGCAAATCTATCAGTTTTTTTTTTTTTGTTGTTGTTGTTAAATATCGAGAGAAGAAAAGAAAAAAATGTTTGAATTTCGACCAAAGTTCTATGTTTCCAGACATATGATATATATGTGTGTGTAACTAATTTTTTTCTCAAAAACTAATAGTTTAAAAGAAAATTTAATCATAATTATTAAAAAAAAAAAAAGCGTCCAGGGTTTTCGTATGAATTCGTGATCAAACATTGTGATTGAATATTTTTTAAATAAAATATATAATGTTATTAATAATAATACATATATAAATATATATTTTGAAAGTATATTTCTTAATCTATTTTAAAAGGAAAATATGTTTTATTTTTTGAGATAATGAAATATTTTAAGTTTTTATTATGGTTTTAACACTGTTGGTTCTTTTGTTCTCCATCATTATAATTATAATTATTATTATTATTATTATTATTATTATTATTATTATTAATATTATTAATATTACTATTATATATTTGGCATCATTATTATTATTATTATCATTATTATAGAATTATATTTTGACCCTCCCTTAAGGTTTTTTTTCAACTTTTAACCGCGCTTAAAATATAAGCTATGTATTTTTATTTTTTATCCCTTAGTTTCGTATTAGTTTTTAAATGAACATTTTATTATGTATATGTATATTATAAATAAGTTGCGAGAAAACGAAAAATAAAATATAGATTGTTTCTCGTTGCTTTGAAATATAATTAAACACATATTTTTAAGAAATATGAAAAAAAATCCTGTTACCTCAATAAATTCGTTGCGTTTGTACCATATGATATATATACATATATATATTATATTATAAATAACATAATTTATACATAAATATAATTTAAGCTAATAATAATTATTATTTAATAAAAAAAAAAAAATATAATAAATACCATGTTATTAAGTGTTTTGTGTTTGTATTATCTATTTTTGATGTAAATATAAATTTATGTTTAATTTTATTATTTATGCGATATTTTTTTTTCATTCAGAACACATTATTTGTCTCGTTAAGACGTTATTATTATTATTTTTTAACGAAATTAAAAATAATTTACACGGATAATTAATGGTACAAAATTGTGGTCGAGAATGTTTCTAAAACTTGTTACCAGCGTATTATTTTTATTATTCGTATTATGTGTATTGATCTTAAAATATAATGTTTATTGATTATACTTGATTTTTTTTATTTTATTTATTTAATCATTTTTTTGTACTAATACATACTGAATGGTATCGAGTTTATAATTTAGACGTGTAGTCGCAATTAGGATAAGCGAAATACCGTTGTTGTTGAGTGATATGTATACCCAGTTGGATTCGGAGAGAGCAGATTTTTAAGTACTAGCCGAGTGGGTTGGTGGGTTGGTGGGGAGAGAGATAAACCAAGGACATTTATTTCTCTTGTGTTTAATAATATATTATATTTTTGTTGGTTAAGATTTTATTATTATGATAAATGTAATATTAATTGTTATACGTACCTAATAGTATATATATATATATTTATAAAAGCTCGAACCGACATTCCAATAATGTGAAATAACGCGTACAATCGATGATATCTACCCGTGCTTATGATGTGTACACATAGATGCGTGTCATAATTAAATGCATTGTGCAGCTGCAGTGCGCTTTACACGATAATGACGTGATATATTATATCGTTTTTGAGATATCGCAAACCAATATGCTGCAGTTGTTATTATAGTGTTACTACGATATCGTCGAAACGTGGTCGTCGTTGAGCGGGTGGGTGGGTTGTGGAAGTGATGATTTGCGAATGTTTTGATACGGATTCGAGACAGAAAGTCGTGTATCACGATGATAATGTGCGAGTGTTAGAACGCTTGAAGGAGTGTTACGGAGAGTTTGGTAAACCGTTAATAAGTATAATATGACGTTTGTTATCATTGCGTGCATTATATATAAACATATCTATTTGGATGCACGACACACACGACGGGTAGAGAACAAAATAATTGTGACGGGCGAGTGTGGATGAGTGAACGGAAGGACCGTCAATAATAAAACATGATATGATATAATATTATGGTCAGATATGCCTTATACTCGTGTCGCACGCGACACCACCGGCCGATATATTATGTTATTACTATTACTACTATTATTATTATTATTATTATTGTTATTATTATTATATATTGTACTTATCGGCCAAGAATTGTTAAACTTTTAATATTATCGTAATCGTTGTTGTCTCTTCGCATATACCTAGGTACATATACCTAACTGTAAAACGTATTATATAACGACGTCCGTTTTTCGCACGCGTACGATTTGTCGGTTGTAAACTTGTGAACAATTCAGTGCATGTACGCGATATATACGCCTACGTATATTCATATGTGTATGTGTATAAAGAAAAACGGTGTACTCTTACACACGCCTAATTATATATATATATACATATAGGTATTAATATTATATATATATGCAGCGTTTACGCGTTGCGCTAACCAATATAATATAATATGTTGTAAGTTAAGCGATTAAACGAAAATTAATTGATGTGTTCTGCGTGTAATTATTATTTTATCTTATTATTATTTCCCATTCCATTTTTTAGCATTCGTCATGCGTTTCGTCCGTCGCTATTTATTATGTTATTTTATAGTAGATATACCTATTTATACATGGAGGTATTATTATTATGTACAGCACTTGTACCGCACAAAACCTATACACTGCACACCTTTCACTTTATTGGTGCCTACCTATATAATATTATAATGTATATGGTAACGAACGCTCGTCCATGACATGTTCGAAGGTTTTAGTATTTATTATTATTATTATTATTATATTATTCGCCGTCGTCCTCCTAAAACGTCCATGTCCTAGTTTCGGGACGAGATTTTGTTTTTCAATAATTACCGTCTTTATTATCCTCACACGCACACACACACACACTGTCCCGCAATGCCGTATTTCGCTTTTCGTCAGATTTTTTTTTTGTTTTATTTTATTTATATTACGTATTTTCCTTCTCACACATTTAAGTCTTATATACGAAATACCGTCAGAATTTTGACGTTTCACCTTGATGGTCTGCACATTACATTTTTGTCATATGGTGATGACGTACCTGTACATAAATATGTAGTATATAATATATTATGATACCTAACTAAATCTACCTACTATACAAGTCCCTTCATTATTACTTTTGTGTGCTGTATGCGAAACCCGCGGCGTGGGTTTTTCATTTTGCTCAGAACTACGAAATACATGGACGATTGAGTCTAATTTGTATATAATGTGTTATTCGTTTGCAATACATATGACAGTAACTTAGCCAGAGGGTCAGCCAAAGGGGTTTTGCCTAAAACCAGTCGATTGAATTTTTGATCAGTATGATAGTTTAGAAAAAATATAAGTATTGATTACTTTTACAAAAAAAATCTAAAAGAATGAAAGTTTGACTTGGTCTCAATAATAATATCATAAACACTGCTCATAAAAAGACAAATTTATATTTTGTAATAGATGCATATAGATAAAAAGTTATTACAA